CCACCTTAGGTGTATGTGGCTGGCGCCCTAGCTACTTGAGCTACAGGCGCTGAGCCATGGTTTTAATTCTTAATATCCATGTAAAATACATAGTGATATTCTCGTTTAGTGGATAAATAATCAAAGGCTCAGAGAAGTTAGGCTACTTTGTTGAGATCATATGGCCTGTACCTAGCACAGTGAGATTTGAACCCAGTCCAAATGATGCCAATGCCTAGAAGCCACTGGATGAAGACAGATAGTTTCATCCATAGTGTGCTCTATCTGAGTTCTAGGCCCCTTTGGTTGTGGGTCAGAACCATCCACCTTTTCCTTCTGTAGTAGGGTGAATGATAGTTATGGGTGATTAAAACTGATAGTTTCTTCCAGCTTTGGGGGCTGTCATACTTTCCTCTCCCCATTCTTTTTTTTCTTTGAGAGAGGGTCTTACTCAATAGCCTGGGCTAGAGTGCAGTGGTTTCATCCTAGCTCATTGCGACTTCAAACTCCTGGCCTCAAAGCGATCCTCCCTCCATGGCCTCCCAAAGTGGTAGGATTACCACTGTACCTGCCTTCCTTCCCCTTCACTCAAACAGCATTATCAGCAGTGCCCCCAGGTTCTTCTGGGTTCTCAGTATTCCTCCTCATTTCCCTGGTTCCCTACAAGACACTCAGGGAGAGCTAAGTAAAGGCTCAGGTTTGCTTTGATATAAAAGCATACATGGCCAGAGATTGAAAGGCAGGGGGACTCCTTTAGCAAAATTACAGAAGGCCCAGTGTGCCAGACTCCATGATGAATTCTATGTTTCCTGCCCTCTATTCTCAGCCAGGAGAGCACAGATGGAGCCTGGGATAGGGATGGAGAAGAAACAATCCCTTCTAGTCATGAGGACTTTCTGGATCAGGAGAGCTTTCAGCAGTTGCATACGTTTAAAAGACAGATGGGATATGTGTATGTTTGTGGTTTGCGGGCCAAAGAAGTTGAGCAGAGGGTCTGAAAGGGGAAGACTGAGGAGAAGGAGAGAAATGAGACAGGCTGGTGGGAGATGGATGCTGGGGGAAAGGTTCATGGGGTCCTTGGGGCCTCCCCAGGAACCAGTTGAATAGGCTCTAGCCCCAGGACACTGGGCTCTTGTGTTGGACCATTTGTGGATGGCAAGAAAGAAGTACAGCGCAATATTCCCATTATAGGGACCACTGACAAAGGCATAAGATTCAACTGCTCACAAAACTTCTATACCCCTGTTTCTCATTTAGTGCATCACATTCCTGTAGGGCATAAAACAGAGGTTCATGAAAGGAGGGTCCCTCAGCAAAGAAGTAGTGGAGCTAGGGGACTAAGTTCCAGGTCCCCCAGAAGCCAAAGGCTGTGCTTCTTGCCCAGGGTGGGGAACTGTGCAGGTTGGGAATGTGTGCTGTTGGATTTCAGAGAATTCGCTCTGGGCTTACAGGCCAAATGGGGAAAGACATGGACCATCTTCCATAGACTAGATTAAGTAAAACAAAAGTTCATTTTGAGGGCCTGGGCAGGGGTAGGATGAGGAAGGATTCCTGTTCTGAGAGTCAGGAGAGCTGGAGGCCAGCTTGACTGGGCCTTTTGCTTGTGTGAAAGTCATTCAATATCTCTGAAACTCAGTTTGTAAAATGGGGGTGATAGTGCTTACCTCCGAAGAATGATGTGTGGACTCATGAGATAGAATAAACTCAGAGTTTTCTTTCTTTTTTTAGAGAAAAATCAGAGTTTTTTTTGAGTCAGGGCCTCAAGCTGTCCCCTGGGCAACCAAAAAATAGCCGGGCATTGTGGCGGGCACCTGTAGTCCCAGCTACTTGGGAGGCAGAGACAGGAGACTCGCTTGAGCCCAGGAGTTAGAGTTTGCTGTGAGCTGTGATGCCACAGCACTCTACCCAGGGGGACAGCTTGAGGCTCTATCTCAAAAAAAAAATATTTGAACTTTAGTGATATTAAGCCTTCATAGAGGTGAAAGAGAGGGCGTAAGGTAATCAGGAATCCAGACAACCTGCCTCTATTTGCTAGAGTCCGCTGTCTTTTGGTTCCTAAGGGCAAGAGCCCAAGACAAACATGGCGGCGGCGGCCTCAGGCGCGATCACCTGCAGGAGCTGAGGATCCGGCAGCCGCGCGGAGCCAATCGCCGGGCGGGGGCGGAGGGAGAAGCTGGGGAAGCCCAGGACGTGTGCGCAGGCGCATTGGCTTGCACCTTGCTCCCGGCAGCCGCGGCATAAGGCTTCGCTTGGCACGATTGCGGTGAGAGAGGCTGGTCCGTGGTCTAGGTTCAGGGGCAGAAGCGGACCGGACTGAGGTCAGATCTGACACAAACGAAAGTCCCAAGGGGGACGGGAATGCTTTCTTCTGAGGGAGTCGCAAGGGCTGTCTGCGGGGGTGCTTGAGGAGATCGGGTTGTGGGTTGGGAATGTTCTGATGTCAGGGTAGAAGATGCGGGGCTCAAGGGGCAAGGTGGCATCTTTGGAGAAGGGCTCTCTGGAGATCTGGGGGAAAGGAATGCAATGGATGAGATAGCTGCCAGGGCGTCTGGGATCCACACCATTAGCATAATGGCTTAACCCTGGTGGCACTTGAAGAGCTTTTAAACAAACAAACAAACAAACAAAAAAAAAAGCTCGGCGCCTGTGGCTCAAGTGGCTAAGGCGCCAGCCACATACACCTAAGGTGGCGGGTTCGAATCCCCAGCCCGGCCCGCCAAACAACAATGGCTGCAACCAAAAAATGGCCAGGCGTTGTGGCAGGCGCCTGTAGTCCCAGCTACTTGGGAGACTGAGGCAGGAGACTCGCTTGAGCCCAGGAGTTGGAGGTTGCTGTGAGCTGTGATGCCACAGCACTCTCTACCCAGGGGGACAGCTTGAGGCTCTGTCTAAAAAACAAAAACCCACCGTGCTTGGCGCTTGGCGCTCAAGCAGCTAAGGCCCAGCCACATACACCAGAGTTGGTGGGTTCGAATCCAGCTCAGGCAGCCAAACAACAATGATGGCTGCAACAGAAAATAGCAGGGCGTTGTGGCGGGCGCCTGTAGTCCCAGCTACTTGGGAGGTGGAGGCAGGAGAATCGCTTGAGCCCAGGAGTTGGAGGCTGCTGTGAGCTGTGACTCCACGACATTACAGCTTGAGGCTCTGTCTCAAAAAGGAACAAACAAACCACCGATGCTGGGATCCATTCCAGTTTAATTGGTCAGGGGTGAGGCCTGGGCCTCAGTAGTATTGAACAGCTTCTGGGTGATTTTAATGAGCACAGGATAGAGAATCACTACACATGTTGCATGCCAGCTACTGAGGAAAGAGCTCCTGGGTAGATCCTCAGTGGCTTGGGAGGGGCAGGGGGTCCTGAATTAAAGCTGTTGGCCCTCCAGTGCTGCTGTGGTAATCTGTGGAAGAGAGAAGCAGAAGATCTCTTCCCTAGTAAGGTGAAAGTTTATTTACAGCCTGAGGAGGAGGACAGGCCCATTAGTATTAGGGATACAGCAAAGGTCTCCAATTGCCCCTCTGTGGGAAACGTGGGCAGGAAGACAAGACTCCAGAGAGAAACAGGAAACACAGCAAACAGTTTAGTGGCCAGCTGCTTGTTGAGAAAGGGACACATGGCCAGCTGCTTGTTGAGAAAGGGACACATTGGGTATTATATCTTTCATTTTGTTTATCCATTTGATATCCCCAAGGACAGGCAGAAAACAGAAATGTTTCCTCTGACTCATAAATGTAGGAAGAAACTCAGTGGTAATAGTCAGACCTGACCCAGGCTACCCATCTCCAAATTCTGCTTTTTGGTAGTTTTTTCCCTCTGCACTAATGCTTTGTGTACAGTCTGCATTTCTGATAGGAATCATAAGTAAACACTCCTTTTTGATGCCCATCACCTCAGAGTCCCAATTTGGCCTTTTCAGTTTTCTACGAAATCCATCAGCCCCCACTCCCCTGAGGTTGATCAAAAATCATGGATATGCTGCTGTTTTCATCTCTTTCTAGTTATTTATTTCCCAGGAGCCTCATAGGGTGAAGTGAGGAGAGTTTTTACACAATGCCAGAAGGCTTTTTCCAAAAAGATTTCACCTCCCCAGAACCCACTGCCCCTCATCCCATTGTCCTCAGGATAGACTCTTGTGAGGTTTACAAAACCCTTTCTGATCTGGCCTGATTCTTCCTTTCTTCCCTGAGCTCTCTTCCCAGAGTTTCTGTGTTTCTTAGCACTGTGCTGTGCAATTGGTGAAAGCTTAATAAATGTTACTTTTTTGTTATTATCGATATTATTTTTAAATTTTTTTTAGAGACAGAGTCTTACTTTGTCGCCCTCAGTAGAATGCCATAACATCACAGCTTACGGCAGCCTCCAGCTCTTGGGCATACGCAATTCTCCTGCCTCAGCTTCCTGAGTAGCTGGGACCACAGGCGCCTGCCACAATGCCCAGCTATTTTTAATTTTTTTTATTTTTGTACAGACAGAGTTTCACTTTATCACCCATGGTAGAGTGCCGTGGTGTCACAGCTCATAGCAACCTCCAACTCCTGGGCTTAGGCTATTCTCTTGCCTCAGCCTCCCGAGTAGCTGGGACTATGGGCAACTGTCAACTACACCCGGCTATTTTTTTGTTGCGGTTTGGCTGGGGCCAGGTTTGAACCAGCCACCCTTAGTATATGGGGCTGGTGCCCTACTCACTGAGCCACAGGTGTGAGCCACTGTGCCCTGCCCCAGGGTTGTCTTTTTCTCTGTGACTTCCATAGCCAAGGTGAACAACAGTGCTAGGGGCACATTGGAGACTGGGGATGATGGTTGTCCTATGGCTGCTACAGCTGTTGTTCCCTAGGACCGTTGAAACCCATATTGGCCAGGTAGAAGCAAATTGACCCATCAGGTATTAAGGGAGCACCTACTGCATGGAGAAGGCGCCTGGTGGAAGCAGGGCTGACCTGGCCCTGGCCTTGTGGAGCTTGTGAGCTGGAGGAAGGTAATGGGAGGCATTTGGATTTCTGATACAGGGACTGAGGGACCTGGAAAGGGGAAAGAACAGGGCTAACTGGACCTGTGACAGAGAATGGGCAGGATTTGACAAGATTGGGGGGTATAGTAAAGTGAGAAAACAGGTATCATGTACTGAAGGTCTTCTACGTGCCAGGCAAAATGCTTGGTGCTTTATATTCATTTTGCATTTCAGCCCAAAGGTGGGCTTTTTTTTTTTTTTTTTTTGAGACAGTCTCAAGCTGTTGCCCTGGGTAGAGTGCTATGGCGTCACAGCTCACAGCAACCTCAAACTCTTGGGCTTAAGCAATTCTCTTGCCTGAGCCTTCCAAGTAGCTGGGACTACAGGTGCCTGCCACAACGCCCTGCTATTTTTTGTTGCAGTTGTCACTGTTGTTTTAGCTAGCCTAGGCTGGGTTTGGACTACCAGCCTTGGTGTTTGTGGCCGGTGCCCTATGGGCGCTACCTACAAGATGGGCTTTAACATTCCCACCTTGTAGGTGAGGAGACTGGGGCTCAGAGAGAGGGAGTATCTGGCTCAAGGCCACCAAAGGTGGATGGGCTGTAGAAGGTGCCAGGGGGTGGGTGGAGTTGGTTGCAGGTTATAGGATATCTCACCCAGCTTATGCAACAAGGCTGGTGTGGGTTCCAAGCTGTTGTTCCCTCAGAAAGGTAGGGCTGCTGTTCTCTGCTGGGGTGGATTGAAGGTGGGGAGGAAGAGTCCGGGAGGCTGTTTCCTGGTGGAGGAATCTGGAAGAGAAACCGGTAACAGTAACCCTGCACCTTCCACTGCAGCTCCCTCTCCAGGGCAGCTGTTCACCTGGATAGGTTGCTTTGCCTCCATCTCAGGTGTGTGGTGGGAGATTTTCTCCGGCATTCTCAAACATTGTTTATGTTCCTGCTCCTTGTGAGCCCCCCTCTTCTTTCTATTTTATTTTTTATTTTAGACCCCCTTTTTCTGACTTTCCTTCTTGTGTCCATCTTTTTCTCAAACTCACTTACCTGTGGGAGGGGACTGATTACCAGGATATTCCCCTGCTCTCACCCTGCTCTAATTGAGCCCAAGAAAAAGCCAGTGTCTGAGCATTTTCTCTGTGACAGCCATGACATTCTGGGCTTCCTGGACATTTGTTTAATCCTTACTGTACCCCTATTAAAAGAGGGGGGCAGTGGGTGTGGTGACTCACACCTGTAATCCTAGCACTCTGGGAGGCTGAGGTGGGTGGATTGCTTGAGCTCACGAGTTTGAGATTAGCCTGAGCAAAATTGAGACCCCCATCTTTACTAAAACAAGAAAAACAGGTAAGAGGATCGCTTGAGCCCAAGAGTTGGAGGTTGCTGTGAGCTATGATGCCATGGCACTCTACCCAGGGCAACAGCTTGAGACTCTGTCTCAAAAAAAGGGGGGCATTATTATCCCAGTTTATAGATGAGGAAGCTGAGGCTCAAAATGTTACACTCTTAGAAAGTACAGTTAAGGCTCGGCGCCTGTGGCTCAAGCGGCTAAGGTGCCAGCCACATACACCTAAGGTGGCGGGTTCAAATCCCCAGCCCGGGCCCGCCAAACAACAAT